GCGTCTTACCTCATTGCATAGCTCACCCGGTTACCCCACCAGATTCGTGCAATGCTGCGTAGACAGCGGTGTTCAAACACCGACAGTCTGTCTTTATCCTGTTTTCCTAATGGCCGAGATTCTGCACCGTACAGCAGGACTGACCGAACTGTTGCGGGATACACTCGACCCTTCACAGACAGCCGGATGTCGCGACGGCACCACAGATGTCTCAAGTTGACAAATGCCAACCGAGCCTTCTGTAGGCGAGCTGACGCTTCATCCGTGATGCGTCCACCGGGTGAGATGTAGCCGCCTAGATAGCAAAACTTATCCACTTGCTCTATTACTTCCCAGTTAGTTTGAGGCTGGGCACTGGACCGACCCGGTCTTGTAGTAACATTTTACACTTTGTAGGTGCAAAACGCATACGGAATATGGCTACATTGGCATTCAAGTTATCGAGAAATACTTGCAACGTACCTGGATGTTCACTTAGTAGCGCAGTGTCGTCTGAGTACTCTAGATCAGACAACCTGCCACTTGGGAGTAAATCGATACCACTATCCTCGCGTGAGGATAGGGCTGTTTCCATAATCAGATCTATAACAAAATTAAGTAGAAAAGGAGAAACAGGGCAACCCTGACGAACACCACTTTCCGTGGTGAACTCGGTAGAAAAAGTGCCGTAAGCCCGGACTCGACTTTGGCTATTAGTATAAAGCGATCGTAATATTGAAATTAACTTCTTGGGCACACCTTTCAGAAAAAGGTAGCGCCAGAGTTTAGAGCGGTCGACTGAGTCGAAAGCCGCTTTCAGATCTAGGAAGACAGAGATGGTGGGTCTACGAAAAGGAAGTCGGTGCCCCAGAATTTGGCGCAGAGTGAAGATGTGGTCGACACAACCTCAACCGGATCTAAAACCAGCCTGGTTGTCACGCGTGCTCCGTTCGCGTGCGGCAGACAATCGGCAGAGTCTGATGCCAGCGAGAAGTTTAGAGACGATGTTAATTAAACTTATTCCTCTGTGATTTTCACAGGAGGATCTATCACCTTTCTGTAAATCGGTATGATCACCGACTCACACCATTCAGCTGGAACTTCCTCTCTTTCCCATATTAAACCCAGGAGTTTTTTCAACTCCAAGACTAACGCTAGGCCTCCATCCTTAAACGCTGATGGGAACAGCCCATCTGAGCCAGAGGCCTCATACCTTTTGAGACACCTTATTTCCCGAGAAACCTCCATTTCAGTTGGAGGAATAGCATCAACTGGGAGTATTTCTCCAGTCGAGGCGGAGAGTGGAAGATAAGCTGTCGATGGGGCCAGTTGAACTGAGCCTTGAAGTGTTCAGCCCAACGGTCNCGGTCAAGACGGCGTTGCTGATCGTGAATCAGTGTGCTATTGCATTCCTTAATTACCTCACTTACGCCTATTTTCCTAGGGTCCGTATTCCTAATTGAATGGTAAAGGTTATGACCAATACCAATAGCCGCAGCTTTCTCCATCTTTTTACACTTTTCTACCCACCACTTCTCGCGGTCATTCCTCAGACTCTTGATGAGCTGGCGTTTAAGGGATTTGCACGCTGTGTCGTATGTGGCATCCGGAGGAAGGATTCTACGG